GTCCATGTCGAGATTAGTCAGACAGTTGTTTCCAGATGCATGGACTTGAAGGAAATTATCTCACGAGAAGCTGTAAATTGTTAAAATGATAACTAGTCATTATTGGACACTGATATGGAATTATATTCATTTTATAGATATTGAACTTTGCAATGGCGCCGATGGTGACTTCTTGTGTCAAATAAAAGTGGCAAAGACATGCAGTGATGGAAGAATTAGGTTAGATAGATATTCCTTTTGATATAAAGCACAACATTTTAAAAGAGTGGTGGAAGGAGAAAAATTTACAGTATTTTTTCGTCTTCAGATAGCAATACACATTCGACAATTTTGAATCGATAGAATATTTTTGCATGGCTTTAACCTTGAGATCTTTTGATCTGATTAGTAAAAATATTTTTGATATCACTGTAAATTCAACATTCAAGTTTTGGCAAATTTGAATTATAGCTTCGGCATTTGAGACACATCGCGCTATAAAATTATTTCAAACGTTTTTCGATTTGATTGCAATTTTACATTAAAAAGTTTATCAACTATTTATCTTTTGCCAAGCATGTCTTCAACTTGTCCTGCCAAGGATAATATTATATGGATAAATTTCTGATTGAATTCAGGCCTTGGCTTCCGATTTATCAGTCGCGACTTGTCAAAGTCAGTTTTGTATTAAAGAAACACTGAATTGCAAGTATTATGTTAAATGTGTGGCTTTTGAAATATTTCGAATCTAGTTTTACATATGCAACAATGTCTGATTTGCAGAATATGAACATAAAATTTCACAGCATTCAAAATCTAGAATAGTGGCGTGTTTATGGAATTTAGTATTGATTTAGGACTAGGTAGAGAAAGAATTCAGGGAACGGTATTGGTGAATTTGATTCCGTTGCGAAATTCAAACCAAACACTGTTCTAGTAGATTATATAGCTCTGTCGATCTTTTTGTATTAATGAATTTTATCAAATGTCAACAAGTATTATAAATATGTTAGCCAGATATAAACAAATAAATGGTTCACGTTTGAAACTTGTTTGTCCTTCAATTAGTCTCAAATACTTCGATTAAGGCTATTTGTGATTATTCAGAACAGGGGTTCTCAACCTGGGGTTCGCGAACCCCCAGGGGTTCACGAGAAGATTTTCAGGGGAACTTGAATGACAGCTGAATATTTTTGTGTTGCTATTTTCAATGTCCTTTACTATCAGAGGAAAATGCGTGCCGATTGAAACTCGCGTGTATTTTCCTTGATCTTGAGCTGTTGTGACTGAACAATGTGAAATCCACAGCTTTGCAGCAAAACTGAGAAATATTAAAAGACAATGTGTTGTTTGCTCCTCAAATTGAGAAACTTATTTGCAATAAACAGAGACAGTCTTCACACTAATGTTCTGTATAAATGAAATAAATACTTTTGTTTAATGCCATTTAAAACAGTGGTTCCCAACCTTCCTGCATGGCGGACCGGCAAAAAATTGAAATGACTGGAATAGAAAATAATAACATATATTTGCGAAATGTAATGCAATGGTTGGCACTTGAGAACATTTCACATGAATAAAAACAAATAATGCACCGGCCAAAAATTGGAATAAGTAGATCAAACTTTCTCCTGAAGAAACTTATTCTCCTCGTTCTTATTCAAAAATATCAAAATACTTTGTTTGTTAACTGATCTCTTATTGATCCTTCCGCATCAAACCTGCAGGGTCGCAACAAGCTCATATTTTACTGGATGTCATGGCGAAGCCCTGAAATATCATACTGTCACTGACTGTTTTCTGGTTTGAACAAAGAAATATTCATAACCTTTTAATTGGAAGTTCGTATTAAGCAGGAAAGGCATGCAGAAAAGAAAAAATACATGTGCTGATTTTTGACTTTCTGAATCTTGCCAGATTTGACGGACGATTCGCGATGAATCGGAACAGAAAAAGTGAAAATTGTGATAACTCGGCATCAAGATGTCGTCGGGCCATTGATACCACAAACAGAAATATGTCGGCGAAAGAGAAATTTCATAATAAACAAACACAACGTCGTTATTTCGGGATCGTAAAGCGAGTGAGACGACTGAAAAACAACAAAATTTTTCGCAGACCGACGAAAAAGCTCCCAGTGCCAGTCCGCGGACTTAGAGTTGGGAACCACTGCTTTAATACACAGTTTTAAAATTATTAGTTAATATATTACAAGCTTGTTTGGTATCTGATTACTGTTCGTGTTGACTATTTCATGACTCGGGGAGTACTTCACACGAAAAAGGTTGAGAACCCCTGATTTAGAAGAAATAGTTATCATAAACATATAGATTTACACACCTGAAATTTGGTGAAACTGAATCGATTCGACGGATTTATATCGTGTTAGGTGTTTCTGATTTTATTTACTTATTATTTTCACTAAACGCATGGCAACAAGTTGTTTTGCCTGCGTCTGTAACTTACAATTCAGACACTCATTCCAAGTGTAGAAAAGACAAAATCATGTGCATATAAGCATTCTATTACCCACCACCTCAACCAAAACGTAAGGAGATAGGTAGCATACATGCAGCAATACATAAAACACCAACGACAGACTCCATTTTATGACGTCATATAACGTAAATTTTAAAGCAGTTGGGAATTGTTCGAAGAAGTGCGAATATTTCAATATTCTGTATCCTTGTAATCTCGCAATAAGTGGAAATATCACGAACAAACGTTCCCCAAATTTTACAAGAGTCATCGACTATATAATTTATCTACTTACTATTCCCATTATTCAAAATTTTAATATACTACAATATACCTATTTTTATTATCCAGCAAATGGAACTGATATTCAGGGCCACTAGGTCAGGCATGTCCAACCTTTTTAGTGTCGCGGGCCACTTTCACATGGGGACATTCATTGCGGGCCGCAAATGTTTTGGCGTTCCGGAAGTATATTTGTACCAAGATGACGCACAACCTAAACTATACCGTGGTACACATACTAGGTTCAGGTTGTGCGCCATTTTGGTACGGATACTTCGGGAGCACAAACGTTTTTACCCAACTAGAATACCAGCCCAGTGCCGATTTACGTTAGAATTTGAGCGTCGCTAAATCAAACGCCTGGATTGCACAACACTTTTGCGGATTTCTGAACACAACTTGCACACGGACAACACGAAGTTCAACTTAACTTTTATGCAAAATGCACTACCCTCAAGCAATTTACATTGGCATAAAAAATCAGCAGAAAAAAAATGAAGTCAGCAATTTTTTTCAACTAGTGCAAAACTTTCTTTTGAATATCATTGCTCAACTGTTTAATAATAACGGCTAGCTTTGGGTTTTGGTACCTCACAACCTAAATAACTGGCTTGTCAAATTGTCGTTCGACAGCCTACTCCTATGCTCCGATTTCATAATTTTCAATTTCGAAGAGAAAGATTTGCACATATATGTTGTGCCTATTGCCGCTGCAATACGCATTGCCATTTGTCTCCGAATGAGAAACTTATCTTCATCGATATACTCACTGTAGAATTTAAGTTTCCTATCTTCTTGAAACAACTGTTTGCGTATATTCTGGGGCCTCTTCTACCCGAATGTCAACAGGACGCATACACAATTTTATAAGAGACCGTCGAATTTTGCAATTAAGCGAATCTCTCTTTAAATGCTTTCAACAACTTTGCGAATTCGTCTCAAATATGTATAGAAATTTGTTGCTGTCGAAGTTATTTAGTAATGGAAAATGAACTGCTTTCTTTAATTCAAATTGAGTTTCATACAGTTCGAGCTTTGGGATAAATGCCTGTATATCTTCATAACAGTCTGTAATCAATTCCACAATGAGTAGAAGACCCATTGTATCTCCACAGATGTTGCATGCTTGAGTGGCCCTACGCAAAATCATATTCTGTGGCGTCAACAACGCTTTTTTTATGGAGGAGCTGCGTGAAATTGAAGCCTCAAATCTAGTAAGATTTGATATCATACCAGGACAATTTTATGTTAAATATGATTATACGTCCGTAGTTATATAAAAACTTCAAGTGGACCGCACGAATCCTTCCCGTGGGCCACATGCGGCCCGCGGGTTGGACACCTCTGCACTAGGAAACAGTGAAAATCCCATACTTCTTATTTTCAGTTATATATACTGCAACATAGCCCTCTTTATTGGCCATCATTGAAATTGAAAGGGAACCCATTTTCTCTTAGTTTATGAACAGTGAACAAAAATTAACAGTGCGTTTCAACGATGACAGAATTTAACAAAATGTCTTATCTCATAAACAACTAACTTACAGTCTATTCGATATTTTCAGTATTTGTAGATCAAAGAAGCTGTTTGATAGCCCTTAATTTAATCCTACTCGGTTGATATTCAACTTTAAAGTTTGCTGTTTTATCAAAATATATAGCAACTCCTTTATATGATGAAATTATGTATACACCTTCATATGACATCTGATATATACAATTATTCTGATGCTTGGCTGGAAATATTCTGATATTGGGGTAGTCATTTGACTTTGACGCAGTGTTTTGAGTTTGAAATGTTTAATAGATATTTGTATCGGATTTTTATGAATATGAGATTCATACACGTTGTTGTTGCGAGGTTTACATATTTAGACAAAGAATGAGCGTCAGTTCCTGTATGTGACCGAGAAAAAAATCGCCATTTGTATCGATGCTTTTGTTTGCCACTTTGTACAAAATATACACACAAGGTCACAATGGGTTTATTTGATCTTATAATTAGGTGCAAAATATTTTTATAAACTTGGCAGCTTCGATTTCGCATTAATACAACTTACCAAAGGTTACAAAAAAAGAACAACAATCAGCGTATGTCGTAGATATCTATATGAATTATAACAGTATTTCGAACTTTTCAACTCACGAAAGATGTTCGCACGTTTACAACATTAGCAGCTGTGAACGAAGGAAACATCGGGGTAGCGTTAACCAAAACATAGCAGTTCTTGAATATAGCAAACAAAAGCTAAAAAAAAAGACTGCCCGGCAAAAGGTGTGAATTATTTGCCCTATAAACATGCAAGCTCCGTTCACAAACCATCATTCAACAGTTTTCTTCTCTACAAGCTTCAAGCAGCAAAGAGAGGTAAGTTTTCAACAAAAATGTAATATGTATTTCATTCTATCTTTTTCATGTCATTCGACATTCCTAATAGAGAAACTGTCAATTAAGTGATTATCCACATAATAATTTCAACTTAGTGCCCAAATTGAAAAATTACTTATGACATCCATATTATTTTTCAGAAAACTTTCACCGATCAAATTTGCAAATCCACAACATGGAACACGCATTTGCGAAAGAGAACGAGGAGGTTCTCGAATTCTTCAACGTTTCCGAAACAACTGGTTTGAAACCAGAACAAGTAAAAGAAAATCGAAGGAAATATGGGCCTAACGAACTTCCAGTTGAAGAAGGAAAAAGCTTGTGGGAACTTCTTGTAGAACAATTTGAAGATCTTCTCGTCCGAATTCTGCTGTTAGCTGCCATTATTTCCTTTGTTCTTGCACTTTTCGAAGATGGAGAGGAAACCATCACTGCATTTGTTGAACCTTTCGTCATCTTGTTGATTCTCATCGCTAACGCCGTCGTTGGAATCTGGCAAGAGCGAAATGCAGAAAGTGCCATCGAAGCATTAAAAGAATATGAACCAGAGATGGGCAAAGTTTTGCGTCAAGATCGTGCATCAGTGCAAAGAATTCGAGCAAGTGAGATTGTTCCTGGCGATATCGTCGAAGTTGCAGTTGGAGACAAAGTTCCAGCAGATATCCGAATTATTGCAATTAAGTCCACAACTCTTCGGGTCGATCAAGCAATCCTTACTGGTGAAAGCGTCAGCATTATCAAACATACTGATGCCGTTCCTGATCTCCGAGCGGTCAATCAAGATAAGAAGAATATGCTTTTCTCCGGAACTAACATCGCTGCTGGAAAGGCTGTAGGAATTGTTGTCGGCACTGGAAGTAACACCGAAATTGGAAAAATTAGAAACGAGATGGCCGAAACTGAAAACGAAAAGACTCCACTCCAGCAAAAACTTGATGAATTCGGGAACCAGCTATCAAAGATTATCACGATTATCTGCATTGCTGTCTGGGCAATCAACATTGGTCATTTCAACGACCCAATTCACGGTGGATCCGTCATAAAGGGAGCAGTCTACTATTTTAAAATTGCCGTCGCCTTAGCTGTTGCAGCAATCCCAGAAGGACTTCCAGCAGTCATCACAACTTGTTTAGCTCTCGGAACGCGACGAATGGCAACCAAGAACGCAATCGTCCGTAGCCTTCCATCAGTAGAAACTTTGGGCTGTACGTCAGTCATCTGCTCCGATAAGACCGGTACCTTGACTACAAACCAAATGTCCGTCTGTCGCATGTTTGTCTTCAAAGCCCTTCAAGCGCAGCAAGCAACCTTCAACCAATTCACAATCTCTGGATCAACCTACGAACCTGTTGGCGATGTTATGCTTGATGGAAAGAAAATCAATCCTGGCAGCTACGACTCACTCGTCGAACTCTCTACCATATGTGCACTGTGTAACGACTCATCTTTGGATTATAATGAAGGCAAAGGTATCTACGAAAAAGTCGGAGAAGCCACTGAAACTGCTCTCACCGTTCTTTGTGAAAAAATGAACGTATTCAACACCGACGTAACTAGTCTAAGCAAAGCTCAACGAGCCAACGCTTGTTGTCAAACCATCAAAAACATGATGAAGAAAGTGTTCACTCTTGAATTCTCTAGGGATCGTAAATCTATGAGTGCTTATTGCACACCTGCCAACTCAGATTCTCCAATTGGACCAAAGATGTTTGTCAAGGGAGCACCAGAAGGTATTTTAGATAGATGCACTTACGTTCGAGTAGGAAACCAAAAGATGATGATGACACCCGCCATTCGTGAACAAATTATGTCCGTTGTGAAAGAATACGGAACTGGAAAAGATACTCTTCGATGCATTGCTCTCGGAACCATTGATAATCCAGCATGTCCTTCAAGCATGGATTTGACAGAATCAACTAAATTTGCCAACTACGAAACAGAAATCACATTTGTCGGAGTTGTAGGCATGCTTGACCCACCTCGTACCGAAGTCTATCAAGCGATCCAAGAATGCAAAGCTGCAGGAATTCGAGTTATCGTCATCACTGGAGATAACAAAGCAACCGCTGAAGCCATTTGCCGCCGCATTGGAGTTTTTGGTGAAGACGAATGTACTGATGGATTGGCTTACACAGGTCGCGAGTTTGATGATTTGTCTAAAGACGAACAATTTAAAGCTTGCCTCCGCGCACGACTTTTTGCTCGCGTTGAACCATCACATAAAAGCAAAATCGTCGAATACCTTCAAGCTAATGGAGACGTTACTGCTATGACTGGTGACGGTGTCAACGACGCCCCAGCTCTTAAAAAAGCTGAAATCGGAATTGCTATGGGAAGCGGAACTGCAGTCGCCAAAACCGCCGCAGAAATGGTTCTTGCTGACGACAACTTTACTTCAATCGTAGCAGCTGTTGAAGAAGGACGGGCAATTTACAACAATATGAAACAATTCATCCGTTACCTAATTTCATCTAACATTGGCGAAGTTGTCTGCATTTTCCTAGCAGCCGCTCTCGGCGTTCCCGAAGCTCTTATTCCAGTTCAACTTCTCTGGGTCAACTTGGTTACCGATGGCCTTCCAGCCACTGCTCTCAGCTTCAACCCAAATTTGGGTTCAAAAGTACTGGGCGCAAATGTCCGTAGGTTTAAACGTATTTGGGTTCAAATGTACGTGGATTTAAATGTCGTGGGTGCAAATATCCATGGGTGCAAATGTTCATGAGTGCAATCTGTATGTGGGTGCTAAAATCTACGGGAGCAATTGTTCATAGTTGCAAATGTCCGTAGCTTGAAAAGTACGTGGGTGCAAAGATAATTAATAGAACTCAATGATTATACTGTCTTCTCATATGGTTTAATTACAGTAGTCAAAAAATAACTATGATAGACAAAAACTTTTCTACCGGTACTTTCATATAACAGGGTTGAATTTTTTGAATTAAAAGATTGTTTGAAACATATAAACTAGTTTTTAGGCGCTAACACGCGAAACCACCCTTAAAATAAGCACCAAAATGTTACAATTGTAAAATAGGATAATAAGGATTTTTCTGGGGTCAATTGTCAGAGAAACATCCATTCTTGACTCACATTCACCAAAGTCAGTTACCAAGACTAAACACATAATGCAAGCTTTCAAATAAATAAAAACACATCGAGAAAAACATGTGTAATAACGCCAACTATACAGCTTGGTTCTGCTGCCCCTACATCGTGCCCCACCTGTTTCGTCCCCTATAGGCACACCCCTGCCTATAAAGTATTGTATTTGAAGGGGTGAGGGATACTTATGTACACTTCTTGCCGTTGTAAGGTGTTTCAAGTAACCGTCGGTTGGTTACAGCCTCCTCCAGCATCAAATCTATGTATCCGAATCAAACAACTGTATGATTAACTATTTCCATACTATACGCAGACTGATAACCTTGAAACCATTGAGCCCTGGGCGACACCAATGCGGCTAATTGATTGATCGAGCTGAATTGGATTAATTAAATGCTTTTATTTTAATAGGGTGGCGAAAGGAGAAAAATTAACATTTCTTTTTCGTCTTCAGATAGCAATAATGTAAAATTCACACTAGATTTATTATCTAAAAAAATAAGCAATTTTTGTGGTACTTAACAAGTAACTTGAGTGAACTGCAAGTAGCTTCAAAGCATATAAAATAGTTTAATAACTGTATACCTACTCTTGGGCCACCACCTACTTTTGGGCAGATATATATTTATATTTTATATATATATATATATATATTTATGCAGTAAAGTTTGGTGATATACTAATATAACTAAATTGCACCTATAACAATCTTGTAGCAAAAATGCTACAGCGACACTGACAGCGGGTCAGAGTTCACAGCTATCCTGAAAATATGACGTGACTTCACGCGAGTGTGTAAAATGACAAGACGGCAGATAATCGGAAGTCATTTACCAAAAGTCCGATATCAAAAATCAGAATGGAGAAAAGGAATATGTTCTAACTGAATTCACGGAATTAGTACCACCAGAGAATGGAAACGAAATATCAAAGACTAACAAAACAATCCATAGATAAATAGTGAATGAGAAAAAGTTTCTAAATTTATTGAATTGTTCTGAATTGTTTCCCTAAACATTTTTCAATCTGGGGGAAAATTATAAACAAAAACAAAAAAAACTTTTCAGAGTTTGAGGCAATTTCTACCAAAGTATGAATCAATTTTGAAATAGCCCCCAATTATGAGACTCGCTTGGAGTCTTGATATGATAAGATGTAATTCTGTGAAAATTATGAAGCTAGTTGGTTAAAAATTGTCACCGACTTTGGTTAAAAATAAAATTTAATTTTTCATTCCTAAAATTTTTATTCCATAATTTACATATTACTGGATTGATTCTGATTTATAATAATTTCGGAGCATACGAAGTCATTCATATTCGGCGATAAAATGAAACCATGGGACATCAGTTAGATAACATCTGTATCAATAATTTCAGTCAACACGGACAGCAATGAAATCTTCAACCGTCCATTGTTCCATCAAGCAATCTTGGAGAACTATGGAACGAAAAAAGAATTTGATTTCAAAGCGATATTTCACAACGAGAGTTAGAAACACTTATAATTTTTTACGAGTATTAAAATAGATTTTAGGAGGAGCTTGTGGCCTTTCTTTGAGCAAAGTCACATCACTTCAGGTTATTTTTAAATAAACCGAGAATGATATTCACATTTTTATTTTGAGTGTTGCTATTGTGTGATTTTGTAAACTTGGTTAAATGACCCAGTTTACGTGAAAATTATTGTTGATTTCATTAACTCGACTAGCGAAATTTGAATTTATACTTTTAAGGTTGACACCGTGTTAGAAAAAAAATTGGGGCATTGTGTGGATATGTGATAATTGGTAGAAAAACAAACTTTTGAAAATAATCAATTTTTGTAACCATAAACCAATATTAACTGCTTCAAAAAGATATGATAATGTAGCAAAATTGTTTCAAACTCTTAAAACTAATTTTTAAAATCATTGTTCCAAAACAAAAAAAAGTTCGAAAACAACTGGACACAGAAAATTATACTGACTGTCTTTGTTATCGCCAAATTACTGTAACGTGATACTTTTAAGCAGAAGATTGGCCCATAAAAATGGTGAAACAATATCAAGGTAATTCCTTCACCGACTATTATGAAGTTGGCGAAGCTGAATACAAGAAAATTCGTTTTATATTCCTCTTTACTTTTTAAAGTTGTCGACATGATGGACAAAGCCTATACACAATTGGATTACCATTTCTATTCTTCAGAGTATTAGGTTGGTTACCTGGCCGATGTTATTCGGCTCAATATTTGATTGAACATATATTTATTGGGGACGAAATCCGTGTGAAAAACGTGGAAACTGTAAGGTAGGCTACTACCGATTAAAGTCACAGATGAACAACAAATCTATAATATTTACTGGGGTCTAATTAAATTTTTTATCCTTCACAACTTTTAAATATTTATTACACAGATTTACAATAACAGTCTACATCGATTTCGGTATTATGGAATTATGATCATTTTTCAAACGATCACGGTACTTTCGTGTGTTGCACTTTTTTCGTGACTATGAAATAATCAAGACAGCAGGCGATCGGGAGTCATTTACCAGAAGTGCAATACTAAGAATCAAAATGGAAACAAGAATGTATGTCGAAAATCAATTGAAGAAATTAGTAACACCTATTAAAAATGGAAACAATAAAAACAATCCCGCAAAATTATAACTGATAAAACTTTTTAAAATTTTACACAGTTTTCTGTAAATATTGCTGTTCCCAAGCGTCTTGACTTTTCCCTAAATTCCTTCCTCTTTTTCAAAGAAAAATAATGAAAAAAATCATCACACTTTCACAAAATTTGATACAATTTCCATCAACGTACAAATCAATTATAAAATAGCCCAATAACTATAAGTTTTGGACTTTTGGTGGACCCACTTGCAATTCATTTATTTCTAATATTTTAGGCTTTACGTGGGAATTTGCGACACAGTTACATTACTTAAGGTTGTTTGTGAATGAACCGACAATGTGATTGAAATTTCGATTTTGGTATTCACTATTTTTTGATCAAGTACGTAATTGTAGACACCCACCAATCCGCAGGTCATATCCTCCGAAAATCCCTTCATCGAATGTATGATAATAAAACCGGCCAAATTCTTCATCATTTTGAATCGTGATCTAACTGGTAAATCTGATCAAATGAACGTAATAATAGCTGTAGCTATTCCGCGCAAAGATAAAAAGGCGTTTTCTATATAGATAAAATTACTCCTGTGAGTAGAACTGCATTAGGCCCCGGGCCATTAATATGCGAAACGTAAATCCCCTTTATGGACGTAATTTTCACTGTTTGGAAATTATAAAAAAAATATGTTTGTAGGTAAAATTATAAACAGGTTCACCATACACGAGCAAATGCATAGAATTTATTATTACAATAATATAATATTTCAGACTATATTTCGGAGTGAAATGATAGCAAATTTCATACTAGAAATAGCAAATATTCCATCATCAGTGCAGTTGAAAATCGCTCAATTTCGTTGTTAATTACAATAGTGTGCTCATTAATTTATTTTTCCACGACGCCAGTATCTTTTCAATAAACTAAGGAGATATATTGCCGCGGATATCTGCCTGTAGGCTACTTTGTAATTTGTTCCGAACAATTGACTGGTCATTATTATCCAGCAGGCGATACAACAAATAATTTAGTACAGGCAGTGAATCGTTAGAAAAGGATAGTAAAATATTTAGTTACCGTTGTTGTTGTAAGATTGTAAATATCCACCATCATGACGAGTATAGAAGCTTATTGATAAAAAATTGATGTAATTGAAAATTTATTTTTACCAAATAAGCCGAAATTATTAAATTAATGGTGACATTACATTATTAATCAATGACTGATGCTTCATCTTTGATTTTATTTTTTTTCACTGACAGTTTTTTTCTGCGGGCTGACGGTGAAGTTTACTTTCCCGATCCCTGACAAGGTATTGGCGTCGGTTGTTTTTTAATTAGATTTGCGGTCCGCTGTTTTTTTATTCAAATATGCAACGGACATTATTTCAACTCCGCGTTGCATCAGCAACATATTCCTAAAGAAAAGGGACAAAACAGGAGTTTTAGTGGTACAAACAAGAGAACCATTGCAATTTATTTAAAACTTACCATTAACTAAATCATTTACCTTTCATTCGTCATAATTTTTCACGTATTTTTTTTTTTCTAATTTTATGTATAATTACCGCGCGTGTTGACAGAGGAAGTTGAAGACGAGTCATTAGTGAGTATAATCATCGCAACAGCTCATGGTGTTATATTTCATAATATATATATATTTTTATTATAACCTACATATATTAAAGTTCAAAACTTGACACTATATCAACAGGATGACAAAAGTAACATACAAGCTACTGATTAAGGTGAGTTATAATTTCTAAGTCAACAATATTTAATTTATCAGAAGTGTTAATTGAAATGACGCTTTGAATTTATGTTGAGCTTTCAGGTATTATGTCACGATATTTTTTCATCCCCTTTTTTATTTGTCCAATCTTAATTCCGAGGCTGGTTCTTAGAATTTTCTTCCATTTGCTTCTACTCCCAATCTTATGGTGACGACTATTGCTTGTGACTGGTCGATGTTCCCACCTACCGTATCAACTTCAATATAACTATTGATTTAAAAAAACGCGAGAATTTTGCGAAACTAATAAATGCTATGATTGGATCATATTCTCGACGCTTAAACATTTGTTTAACGTATGAATACTATGACTTTGGCGTTATATGACTATATATATGTGAATTGTTTTCAACAACCGTCTCTTCAACAATTAGTACAAAAGGCGAAAGCGTGGTGAAATGATTTGAACCGATCAAAGCAGAAAGTTGCCTGTACTTGATAAATAATAGTTTAAACTTAGCTGTTACAGAGATTTCCAATTTTAACAAAATAATTTGTATTTATATTGACAGACTTTATTTTACTTCCTCAACTCATTTCAGACATCAAAGTTGTATGCAGAAGGTGCAACAGATTCAAATGTCTCTGTTCAACTAGTTGGCGAAAATAAATCTTATACAGATTGGCACGCGCTTGACAAATTTTGGCGAGATGATTTTGAACAAGGGAGAACAGATGAATTCACGATAGAAGACAAAGAAGTGGGGAGAGTCTTGTTTGTACGATTTCGTGAGTAATCCAACATATTTGAACGTACAGAAAATATTGAAATATATTATATAAATCATTTAAAACTGGTAAGTCCAGGAATATTCTGAAATTTCCAATGTGATAAAACTTCTGCTGGTCAATTTTACTTTCGAGAAGGTTAAGGTGCGCGCAACTAGCATATAGCGACTTCAATAGAAAGATGAGATCGTTCACTTTCTGCACCCGCTGATTAGGATAGAGCAGAGAAAC